CCCCCCCCCGGCAGCCTTTCCCCATAACTGAGATGTCTTGAAATAGAAAGACACTTTTTCAAAAGAAGAATATGAACTTCATTTATCCTCAAGAACAACTTCTTCCTTCTGATAAACAACTCCCCAGTAACAGTCAGTGCAAAGAGCAGCTCTTCCTCACAAGACCACACCTTTGTTTCTTTTAACTGAGATTCTTTTCTCTAATCATCTAAGGTGTTTTTTTTTTAACTTATTTCTTGCTTCACAGTCTTGGTTGCAACTATCAATAATTCTAAGAGGAAAGGAACGGCTATGCAAAAGAAATACGAACCCCAAAACCCAAATTTTTATTTTCAATCAAAACTGCAGCAAGGTTTTGTGGTTTTTTTCCCCATAAGCCATCCAGGAATGCCTGTCTGGGGGAGCTTAAGTCTAAGGAAACATTGGGTCAGTGAGTTCCCAAGATCCTGTTTAATATGAGGCAGCTGCCTTGTATAGATGAACCAAGCAGATCACCAATACAGGCATCAGAATGTAATCTCATCCCACAGAGTTCATCAGAACTGAGACAAGGCTAAATACAAAATAAAACCCATCTGGACATAAAATCAAACATTCAAGAGGAACCTCCACCCTGAAAGCCCATTTGCTTCAATCCACATATATAGGTTATATTAACATTCTTGAGAATTGATCACCAGTCAATCTTTTTAGAGGACTACTTCTCTAGATTAAAGCATTGTATCCACATTATATTTTACCTTTTATTTCTCCAAGGAGTTCACTTGTGTTTAATCTTTCCATTTTCTCCTTCCAATCTTTAGAAAGAAGTTTTTCCATGCAAGATGAATCTATAAAGAAATGGGAAAGGATTAGCAAAAGTTAATATGAAGCCAACAAACTATTTGAGCAGCCTTTCCAGAAAACGTGGCTTGGAGGAAATGTCAAGTCTCCTGCATTATGATAGTGGCACCCTTTTGACTGCTGGTGTACTTGAAGACAGTCAACAGATATAAAGACATTCAGCTTTCTAAATAAAGAATGATGCCAGAGCTATATCATCCTAACCTGCCAGAGGAATATACAACAGAAGAATCCAAGGTCTCAGGAGCATCCAAGTTAGGCAGGGAGAGTTTTAATTTCCACACCCATTGACTGAGGACATTAGAAAGGAAACTGCCTCTGATATGCATATTTTGTCTGGTTTGTGTGTATATCTGTGTGTGTCTTACAAAAGGTTGTGCATTTATTAATTTATTTATTAGATTTGTGCCCTGACTTTGCTACAAATCAAGGTGGCCTACATTGTTACTTCTTCCTTCTATTTTCCCCCACAACAACAGCCCTGTATGTTAGGCTGGCCTAAAGAAAATGACTGGCCCAAAATCACCCAGTGAGCTTCTGTGGCTGAAGGTACACTTGAAACTGGATCTCCCTACTCCTAATCTAGCACTGTAATTACTGCACCACACTGGCTTTCCAAAAGCTATTTCTGCTGGGATGCACACCAACAAGTCACAGGGCAAAAGTTTAACTAACTAGGCTGTTAGAACAGTCAGAACAAAGCACAGGTATGTGTAGAGGGAGAATGTCTGTGTCACGGTGGGGAGGACAAACTCTTTGTCACTTCCTTTCCAGCTGCAGATCAGTGCCTTCGCTTTACTACCTGCTGTTGTAACCAATCTTCCTGGCAATAGAGGGGGACATGCAGGGTAAATATGGGGGGCGGGGGTCTGCAGCTGATTAAAAAGCCATAGAGATGGTATTGATGGTTATCTACTCAGCCAACCATTCTCATATGTCATGAACCCAAGTCACAAGATAAGGCTTTAAGTTACCTGCTCACATGCCTGCTCACCTTCTGGTGACAGGAGGACCTATGCCAGTGTTGTCCAAACTTGCCCACTTTAAGATGAATGGACTTCAACTCCCAGAATTCCCCAGCCAGCTGGCTGGGGAATTC